TAAATTAAATTTTTTTAGATTTTTATTTATCTTATTTACTTTTTATAATTTTTTTGTATCTTATTATTGTTTATTTTTTATAATTACTTTCTTATTTTTTAATAATTTGTTTACTTTTTAATCACCTTTTAATTTTTTTATTTAATTATTTCATTTTTTTTTTATTTAATTCTTTTTTTCTAAATCAATTACATTTTTTTCCACCTAACTTTATTGCTATCACACAGGAGAAAACAATCCCCTGTGTGATAGAAATTGGAGGTGACAGGTTCTCTTTATTGACCCTGTCACCTCCAATACAGGAGTTCTAGCACAGCACTGTGCTGGAACTCCTGTGACAGGTGAGAGAGGAAGAGCACAGCTCTCCCCTCTCACTGTATACACGGAGTGGCCGCTCTGATCCCTACAGGAGAGACTCAGTGGCGCTGCCCAGAGCCAGCGAGGAGAGAGGTAAGTGCAGGGAAGGGGGGAGGACAGGCTGCACACATTTACATGTGATCTCGGCGACATCGCCGAGATCACATGTAAACGAACAATTGGCTGCCTCACTCTACAATTAGTCCTGCTTGTACAAAGCAGGACTAAATGTAGAGAGGGCAACTTACTGCCCAGCGCCCGCAACTTCCCTACAAGGACAGCGCTGCCGCCCCTCTGCGCCCTGCCGGGCCTCGGTGGCCTTGTGGGGAATCCGGGCCTGCAACCGCCCAAATCACTTTTATCAGCCTGCGAATGTGCTTCCCCTGCCGCAGTGTCAGGATGGAGAGTGATGAATGAAGCATGCTCTTAGCGCTTTATGCTTCAGAAGCCAGCAGTAGTGCTGGTTACACAGATGATTAAGCACAATCCTGTGCTTGATCGCCTGTAATGGAGGGTAGGAGAGGCATTAGCGGTCTGACGGGACAACCTGTCACCTCCAAACAGTTAGCTCCTTTGTGATAGCAATAAAGTTAATTGTAAAACATGACAATAAAAGTAGGGATGCACCGATACCGGTATTTTGGTACGGAGTACGAGTACCGATAGTTTTTTTTCGGTACTCGCCGATACCAATTACCAAGTAACGTAAGTCCCATACAGGAAGCCAATGATTCGACACCTGGCTCCCTGATTAGCCAGGAAGTCGGGCAGGGTGTAAGCACTCACCACCCGGCTTCCCGATTAACAAGAAAGTCTCTTACCTTGTCCAGCCTGTCACCCCCGGGGCCTCTCCAGTCAGAACGCGGCCTTCCTCCGCTACACAGCTGGAGCAGTCTGGCCGGCCAATCAGGAAGCCGTGCGCCGTGTAATGACGCGACGCCCGGCTTTCTGATAGGCCGGGAGGCCGGCTCCATGCTTCCTCGTCATCAGATGACGAGGGAGCATGAAGCCAGCTTCCCGGCCAATCAGAATGCCGGGCGCTGCGTCATTACACGGCGCTCGGCTTCCTGATTGGCCAGCTTCCCGACCAATCAGGGAGTCGGGCAGCGTGTCATTACACGCTGCCTGGCTTCCTGATTGGCCGGGAAGTCGGCTCCATGCTCTCTCATCACAAGTGACGAGAGAGCATGGAGCCACTTCCTGGCCAATCAGGAAACCGGGCAGCTTGTAATGACACGCTGCCCGGCTTCCTGCTACTGGAATTACTCGTGCTAGGCATCGGAGCATTTGGGCGAGTACGAGTACTCGCCCAAATACTCGGAATCGGCACCAATATCGATACTAGTATTGGTATATCCCTAAATAAAAGTGTTGAAATTAAAAAATAATAAAAATTACAAAATAAATTAAAACCAACCCTGACTTCCCCACCATCTACATGTGAATGAACACATACACGTATGGCATACACGTGTATGTAAATGACCCCTTCACCACATATGTTAGGTATCACCGCCAACACTAATTCTAGGGCCATGATTTGCTATTAACTCTAAACCGATGAGCAGTTAAGGCTTTAAAGCACTGCATATGGACAATTTTGAGCACCATAGTTTTTCACCATTGCATGGGCATACACACAATTTCAACGTTTGAAATGTTTGGTATATATTTACTCTGGGTAACTGCATATTTTATTTTTTACCCAAAAATTGGGTATTATATTGTGTTTGTGTGCACTAAAATGTATTTCATTTTTTTCCCCTAAAAATATTGATTTAATAAACATTTGCGCAAATATCCTGCTACAAAAAGAAATCAGTTATCATTTTTTTCCTGTTTTTTTCTATTCTACAGGGCCTCTGCTTTCAGAAAAGATATAATTGTTTGGGGGGGGTTAAATTAATTTTCTTTTCAAAATTCATATTTAACATGTGTGTGCAAAATGAAAAAATTGCTCTGGTACTAGGGTGGTTAATGGGGTGAATTTCCCTAGAGGCACAGATAGCAATATAAACCTGAGAAAGGGTCTAACCCTTCCCCACTTTATCCCAAAAAGTAGCATTGGCTGTAAGATCCATAAAATATGGTCCATATACAGCATCATGGATGCATATTTTTCTATTTTGATTCTACGGATCTGAACGAAGTACAGGTTTACTAATCAATATAGGGCCTATAGGAAACAACACCTGCTTCCAGATTCATAAATACATAAATTCACATAATTTGTTTCATGGACGTGTGCATGAACACTTTTCATTTGTGAATGTGTGCTTATTATGAGAGGATATCACATGGAGTGCTGTGTTTTGGTCTAGGAGCCCATGTGTTATGAGAATATAAAATGGATTCACCTGTATTTTTTACTACTTCAATTAGCGATCTGGTGTAAGATGGTCCCAGAGTTATAAAATGAATGATTGCTCCACTTCCATATATATCAGGGTAACATAGAGAGGTGTCATAATTATCTTCCCCATCTGATAACAGCACTATTTCAGTGCCATGTGAAGATCCATCAAACCCTTTGTTAACCTAATGGAGAATGAGAAAACAGAAAGTTGTTACAATACAGTAGTGATGAAAAACCTTTATCTGTGAACCGTACAAGCAATAAACATTGTACCCTACCCAAAAATTATATTTAAGCTATGTGGGAAACTAAGTTGGAGTCCACACAAGCATTTAATAGGTTTCCTGATCTCCAATGGTTGGGATCATCCCCATCCATCATCGCCAAACAAACACAACCCAAAGGTCTAACTGTCCGCCTTTCTTTGCAGCATAACAAAAAATGAAAATTCCCAAAGGGAGAGTTTAATGACTACAGAACGTGAGTAGACCTGGGAACCTGGGTGCTGTGTTTTAGCCACTGCAGTGCCCAACAGTGGGAAAAGTCTTACTCACATTATTAAGCTCAAACACGGAGGTCAAAGCAGTCTTGTCCAAGACTGGGGCCCTTTTTTCAGGGAAATTTAACCATTTACAGCACCTGCATCAAACAAAGCACATCAAGCTTGCCAGCTTCTACCCATATCCTCTGCAGAAGGAGAAGCTGCTGATGGCTTGTGGCATCCTTATACCATGTGCAGGAAATACAAAGGGGGGCATTTATCAATTCTATTGCAAAGCAACGCAGTCCTAAACAGGAATAGATTGTGTGACAGATGTACAACAAGGTTACAGCTTGAGTCATAAATTCTTCTGCTCTAAAGTAGCACTTCCACATAATGAAACCTGACCTTGACCATTTCTTAAAGGAGAACTATGAGGTGAGTGCTTTTCACTTACCTCATAGTTCTAGCTGACCTGTGACAATGAGACTGTCACAGGTCGGCTCAGTAGATCGGGAGGTGAGCGAACACATACCGGCAGAGAGCCGTGACAGGGGAGGGGCTGGATTCCTCCCTCCCCGCTCCGATCCGCCAGCGCTGACTGGCGGAACGGACCGGGGAGGGGGCGGGTACAGCTGGCTCTGCCTCTAGATAGGCAGAGCCAGTTGTCACTCACGCAGATGGGCGGATCCAGACATCGATGTCGGGATCCGCTCCGGCTGCGGCGTCTCAGTATACTGAGCTTAGGGTGACGGGAGGACGCTAGTTTGTGTCCTCCCGTTACCCTAGGGAGAACTATGGGGAAAAGCCCTGACCCCATAGTTCTCCTTTAATTATGCATTTGTCTGTAGAAGAAAATGTGTTGCATCTACAATAATACATTGACTGCCTCAGATTCCAGATGTAGTAGTAAATAGGCAGAAAACATGTTGCATGTACTTAGTTAAATGAGAGGTAGAATGATTCACGTCTAATTGTGTCAATAATTTGCTTGATAAATATTCCTCATTGTGAAGTTTCACTGCAGCAGTCATTATCAGATTCTCTTCTTACATGATGTCCACTCAGATGCACTTAATAGCTGATGTTTTAGCCCTCATTCACACCTGAGCCATTTGTGAGCTTTTTTCAGCCTGAAGTGTACAATTTTTGCCCCATAGATGCCAAAAGTAGTGCCTGAAAACGTTTAACACAAGTGTTTTAGCATGTTTATTGAGTGTTTTTCGTGTGTTTTTGCATCTAAAAAACAATCTCCTCCTCCAAGTGACCTCTGGCTTGTAAACAAAACAGAGGATTTGGGCATGTCCATGCTGGATGTGGAGATTTTAAATGGAGAGAGAGAGCGCGAGAGAGCGAGAGAGAGAGAGCCTACAAGGACTTCTATGACCCAGTGATCTTATTAAAAGAACTGTGGTAAGCAGCAGAGGGCCTGAGAAGAAATTGGGTGTGACGTTTTCCCAGAATTTGAGCTTCAATAGCAGTAGACACCAAATCCCCACACAGAAAAATTACAGAGCAGTTACAAGGATGACAACAACACATGAGGTCACAGTTGCTATGGCTTTCAATTGGACAAAACAAAAATACCTGAAGCTTGAAAACCACATGAAACATGCTATAAGAAACAAAAAAAATTCCAAAATCATCTGAAAACGCTCAAATGTGAATGGGGGCTTTTGGGGATGGGAGAAGTAAAAGCTAGGGTAGACAGCAAAGTGAGGGATCCCATCAAAACTTTCACTGGAGCCCCTGACACAACATCTAAATTCCCATGTTAAGGTGAACTGTCAGTTTAAATAAAAAACAACGATAACTAATTCCCTGAGCTTGTTCCACATTTGTGGCTTTGAAATACTGACACCAGGCAGCCAAGCAACTAGCATATTTCAAAGACCAACAATTGCAGAGTACATGTTTCTCTCATGGCAGGTGTTCTTTAACTACAAAATATATCTCCAACACATATAAATGAGGAATTACTACTCGGCTCATTATCATAAACAAATTTACCTATATGTGGGAATATAGCCAAATCACTTATAAGAGTGTATTTGTAAATAATTTGTAGATCCATTCGCCCTGGGAAATTACATGTACATTCACCATGTGAATATAGGCAAAAATTAATGTTATAAGCATATTTTCTTTCCAGATCAAATGTAATTTACTTCTTATGGTTTTCAAGCTTTCAGTTAAATACCATATTATGGTCATTGGATGGCGCTGAGAAGCATAAGAAGTAAATTACATTCAACCTGGAAAGAACATATACTAATAACATTCGATTTCACCTCTAGTGTCTCTTTTTGTCCATAGTGGCACAGAACATGTGCAATTTATCAGAGCAAATGTCTCTGCAAATTGTTTATAAATACACCCCTTAGTGTACAACCTACACAGGTTTTATTTCTGGTGTCTATTTAACAACTATATCCACAATAACTCAGGATATTACCGTAATGCCAGTCAGGATTCCTGAACATATATTTGTTCCTCCGGTAGCTGCTAATGGAAGAAAGGATTTCAGCTTTTCTCGATCCTGATTATTTTTAATTTGTATGAGTTGAGTTGCAATCTCACTGGAAGATGAGAATCTGACAATTCCAACATAAGAACCTGCTTCAATGGCCTGCATAACAAAGATCTCTGCTGCCTGGTAGAGTCGTTGATTACGGTTCTGCGACAAACGAAAATAAGTTAGTCAAATATTTCAGTGCAGAACAAGATATATTCACGAAAAGTGGCCCAAAACCCCAAAAAACTAGAGTGTGTGTGTGTATGTGTGTGTGTGTGTGTGTGTGTGTGTGTGTGTGTGTGATCTGTTCAATCACCAAAGTACTAATGTTTCTAATATTTGTTCTACCATACCCTGCATGTATATAATCATATTCAGTATGTACGTTGGGCAGCCACTCTACCCACCCAGGCTCTATCTGTAAAAAATAAGTCAAAGCAATTGAACTTGCTGGACTTACAGCAAGTCCAGTTGCCTTGACCCTATTTTTTTACAGATATACTATGACCTGGATGAATGAGAACCTTCACAGACACCCAGGCTCTACTTCCTGCTTTTTAGTGCTGCAGGCTGTTTGTGCTCTACCATTCCTCTCTCCTACTGTTAGTATTTTATTCAGGTCTGATTGACCAAACAAACCACTGTCAGTGTGATTGAGATAGAAAAGAACACACTCAATTTCAGCTGTAAAGTATACGTAAACCCAATCATTAATTTCTTGTTCTTCCTGTTATAGAGTGACAAGACTCTGTCACTGTCTCTCGTTGGGTTTCCTGCGTTAGCAACAATCTCTTCCATTGGACACTACTATTGGCCTTGCTGATGCATATTGCAAACATATGTCCTACGATTGTCACTGTCAGGAAACTTTTCCTGAAGAATTACATGCAGCAGTTACTAGAGTGCCTGCATATAGACATGAAGTGGCTGCAAAGAATCTGCAAGAGATCAGCAGTGCTGATATGTGAGGAGATACCTGCACAATTCAGGTTTTAATTCAAATTTCAAATGAACTTTTATAGTTCTAATTCAATCAATATTTTCTCATTTCAATTATGAATTTATTAAAGTAGGTGACTGTTTTTGATGGTAACTTTTGGCCTTTTGGAAGGATTTTACAGCTATTGTCCCTAAAAGGCATGGGAAGCCCCGCTCAGCCCACCAAGAAGTGAGCCAATATGGCATACAGAATGAGTCAGTGTGGAATAATGAATGCAGATCATAGCATACAGCATCAGGCAGTGCAGATTAGGGAACGTACAGCCTGGCATACAGCATGTACTTGTAGAGTTATTTTGGAATCTTAATAGAAATAACTTGCAGCAACTGCTCAGGATGAGGCCTATCCGGCTCTGTCCATGTCTCCAAATGAAAAAATGCACTGATAACAAGGCCCGGGGTAAGGAATGGTGGGCACCTCCATAGTTAAATGATGTCCCATTATGACCTCCATCAGCATGGATCAAAACATGCAGTGACAGCTAACCCGATTGCTGCTGTCACATATAAACAAAATGCTGGCAGAGAAAATCTTCCATTACTCTTCCTCACACTCTGCAATATATGATGTCATCAGTCAGCAACACAGAGGAAGAGTAGTGAAAGATTTGTTCTGCCAGCATATAGTTTATATGTGACAGCAGAAATCAGATCAGCTGCCACTATATCAGCAGGTCTGTGATAATGGAGGTTTGAATGGGGCTACAATTTAACCCACCACTGCTCATCCCTGGGGCCCTGATCAGCCCCTGCCCCCCAGTCCAGGCACCATAGCAGAAACTTGGGCTGCTATGGTGGTAGTTCCACCAGTGATACGTGCACTTTATACATAAAACTATGATTGATCACAAAAACAAAGCAATGTGTGCTACATCACAACTATAAATAATAACAACAACTATAAATGATAACTTACAAAGCTTGCCATACTTCCAGAGATGTCCAGCACCAAAGTAATCACCCTATCTGTAAACTGTATTAGTGAGATTGAAGGAACAGGGATGGTGGTATTAACCATTGGTATAGTGGAGTTTAAATCAGTGGAGTTTTTAATGATTTCCCAGGTACTGTGCAAATTACACATTCTGTTCTGTAGTGTGGGAGCTTCAATGTTATGATTGCTGGCATTACAAAATGCAAACACCTAGGAAAAAAGAGAGACACAGAAAGCATTTAAAAACTGCAGATATTCTAATCTTTCCATGTTTTATCAACCGTTTACAAATAAAAAGAGAAAGTTACACTTTTATAAAATCCACTTATGGCAGTGGGTCCCATTCTAATCAGAGGGATGTACTGCAATTTGAAAATACCCTTACTCCATATAGTTGTCCTGATCTGTACTTTCACATTCAAGTCAATTGAAAAGAGACCTTCAATATACATGTTCAAGCACAAATGATAGAGCGTGTCTTTTTAGTCATAATTGGTGTGAATGAGCCCTAAGACTATGAAGAAAGTGAGGTAAACATTATTCTCACTTTCAAAGGTCCTAGTCCTTGCATTTTATACGTTCTTCATTTGCTGGCAGCAAGATCTGCCCACAATTCTTTGAGTTGCACTTCTAAGTCTCATATCACATACCAGACATTTCACTTAGGGTCATGGATTTAAATAATGACTCCCAGAGGTTGTGGTCCTAAGGTTAGCCCCATTGGTTAGCAGCAAAGTACGGAATATAGAAAACGATATGCAGTTAGAAATATATGAAAATATAATGATAGGCAATGAACTTTGAGAATTATCCAAAAAGCCAAGTTTAACACATACAAAGGCTTTAAACCAAGGAACAAGCCAAAGTGATCTGGAAAGAGACACTATAATACATTCATGATCCAGGACTAATTTACCCTATTTTATTTATGTGAAATCACAGGATCTTATGAAACAAGTATGACTTGCAGTTGGATATCCAAATAAACACACAGTATAATATTGCAGCAATACTTACTGATGGTAAGGACTGCAGATACATTATTGACTGTTTGACAAACTGGTTCTTGTCAGGCACAAACATGCATCCCTCCTCATAGAGACCATTAGAGTCATAATAGCACGCACGCATGTTACAGGAACCTCCTTGACATTGGTCTGTCTTTTTTATGTACACTCCAATAATATCACGAGAACATCTAGTACAAGGAAATTATAGTAGGTTAAAAACTGATTTATCTTGAACTACTAACAATTATTATTATACAGGATTGTAATTTGCAATATTTCAACGGTCAGTTTAACCTGGGCTGTATTTATTCCTGTGGGCTATAGAAAGTGAACCACACAGAGTGTACCATGGTGTGGCAGTGATTAATGGCCATGGTGAAAAGAGGCTGTTGTCTTAGAGAACATAGATCATTGCAACACTCCTCTTCACATAAATATGCTAGAAAAGGGGAACGGTAATAAATGAATTGCAAATTAGGAATTTTTTAGGAGCTACACAAGTTGACCGGTGCTCTGTAAAATGTATATGGACTCCTTGAAATAAAATACTAAAAAAAATACCATGCCATCATTATAAATAATTTCTTTTGTACACCATCAAAATGAATCATTTCATTCAGCTTTCTTTGACAATTTAGCACAACAGCTAAATCTGCATTTGGTCACATGAAATCTCAAAGCCGCAACGGAAGTAGGAAATGGAGGATCGCAGAGAGCAGGTAGTTGTATAATGGTTAATGTGCCATGACTGCAGGTCCCACTCTTAATGCGGTGTGAATGGGGGTAGTATGTCCACTCAGGGCCCTCAGCCAAACATGTAGTATTTGTACTGGCCAGTGGAGCAAATTCCCCACTGCCCTAGAGCCTAACCTTTCCTTGGAAGCAGGGACAATTTGTGCTAAATTGTCAAAGAAAGCTGAATGAAAGGATTCACAATTTACAAATCATGATACATTTTTCCTTATTTTGCCTCCTTCTTCTGGTCACTTTTGGATATCTGTGGCTAAATTCAGCAAGAGAACTGTAGGAGAAAGTGGTGCAGTGGATGTTAAGAGTTGAGGGGGGTGTTTATAAGAGTCAGAAGGATCTTCATAGTGCAAAAACCACAAAACCATTTCTCCTTTCTCTACAGTAGAAACAGTATCTCTAGTAATTATAGTATTCATTTTTACTACGATATTCACATAACACAAGGAGTAGAGATTGTACAAAAAAGTGACTTTATTCAAGTGTGCCAAAGTCAGCCTGATGGTTAAAGGAGAACTATGAGGTGAGTGCTTTTCACTCACCTCATAGTTCTAGCCGACCTGTGACAATGAGACTGTCACAGGTCGGCTCAGTAGATCGGGAAGTGAGTGAACACATACCGGCGTTTGCTCACTTCTCGATCCTGTCACAGCTCTCTGCCATAACAGGGGAGGGGCTGGATTCCCCCCCCCCTCCCCGCTCCTCCGGCGCTGACTGACGGAACAGACGGGGGTGGGGGCGGGTACAGCTGGCTCTGCCTCTAGATAGGCAGAGCCAGCTGTCACTCACGCAGCTGGGCGGATCCAGACATAATTGTCGGGATCCGCTTCAGCGTCTCAGTATACCGCGAGCTGTGGCTCGCGGTATACTGAGCTTAGGGTGACGGGAGGACGCTAGTTTGTGTCCTCCCGTTACCCTAAGGAGAACTATGGGGAAAAGCCCTAACCCCATAGTTCTCCTTTAAAGACAGCCCTGACTACAATGCTAGTTATATAATAATAAAACCTATGGCCAATTACAATAACACAATAAGAGTGTTTACCTTGTTGCTTCAACTTTAGAGTCATTTGAAACATAGAAAGGTTTCTCAAAGTTATATTCATCAAAGACCCCCCATCGAAGATGAGCCCATTCATGAACAAACACTCTCCCTGTAAAAATGAGAAATACATTATACAGTATATACTGTATGTATTAATACCATCAGTCATTTGGGAGCAGTAGTTACATTCTTAAAAAGTTCATTCGAAAAATAGGGAAAAGAACATTGTAAGGCCTTCTTTACAAATTAAATGTATTTTATGGCTCAGCAAGTATGATTTATACCAATCACTATTACTTTATTATTACATTAGCATGAAAAAAACCTTTACAGTGAGATTGAAGTGTAAGTTTAGCTATTTCTTTTTAGTTTTGCATACAGTGGGGAAGGATAAATACCCCATCACGATTTTACTGTTGCTAGGCATGTGATCGCGCTGTGGACAGAGATTATTTCAAATGCATCAAAGATAGAATGCATATGAGGTCAGGAAATTATTCTGGTCCTAGGCTGCTGCCTTTCAGATCATGATAATCAAATTGTTCAACAGATAACCAACATTTAAGAGGGTTATTCACTATTAAGCCGAAAGATCTGGCCGAAGCTTTGGCTGATCCTTCTGCTCGCTTACGGGCTGCTGTACGGGCTATTCACAAAAGCCCGTACAGCAGCTGAAGGCAGCCGAGCGGCTCAGCCGAGCAGAACGCATATGCTTCGGATCGCCTGAGCTGTAGTGATAGCCGAAGCAGGGAGAAGGTAGGTCGAAGCCGACCGTTCTCCCCGCAAAAGACAACAGCTGGGCGGAGCCAGCCGAGATGTCACTGCTGGCTCCACTCAGTTGTTGTGCTTTAATGACAGATCAGCATCCTCCAATGACCTGGGGACGCTGATCTGCCATTAAACCACAACAACTTGGTGGAGCCGGCCGTGACATCATGGCTGGCTCTGCCTAGTTGTTTTTTTTTGCCCGGGACCTGGTATAAGACCAGGTGGTCTTATACCAGGTGGCGGCCAAAAGTAAACAGTTGGGTGGAGCTAATGGTGATGTCACCGCTAGCTCCGCCTAATTGTATATATTTTGCCTGCATATGTCAGATTATTCATTATGCGGCAGGAGTGTGTTGCATGCGGTCAGGTCGCCGGACGTCAGACTTTATTATTATTTTTAATTTCGTAGAGTCGTCGTCATCGCCGTGGACAACGCTGGACGTCGTGATTGACCCTAGGAATACGCCGGTGGATCCATTTTTGTTTTTTGGGGTTTTTTTCTACAATAAATGAATTGTCAAAAGCCTTTTGTTGCATTTTTTTATTCAATTAAAGGATTTTTTCTAAAAGTCTGGTCTTTTTATTTATCCTTTATTTAATCCTTTAGTGAATGGATAGGGGTATAAGTACCCCTTACTCATTCACAAGGAGGGGCGCATCTGGGTGCCCCTTTATTAAAGGGGTCCCCTGATGTGAATAAGCCCCCCTGCCCAGAACCCCACAACCAACGCCCCAGGGCTTGTGGGGAAGAGGCCCTTGTCCCTATCGGCACGCGGACAAGGTGCTTTTCCAGGGGCAAACCTGAAAAAGCACCCTCCCAGTGCTAAGGGCATGTGGCCCCCTTTCCTGCCCTGCCGGGCCTGTGCTCGTATCATGGGTCTGGTTGGAAATTTTAGGGGGGGGCCATGTCTTTTTTCCCCCATTTTTTGGGGATGGGGTTCCTCCTTAACATTCCTACTAGACCTTAAGGGCCACTTTTTAAAAAAATGTTTTACCATGTGGTCCCTCTTAACTTTCCTACCACACCTAAAGGGCGTTTTTATATATTTATATAATATATAAACATATAATATAATTTATATTTAAATCATTTTTAAACTTTATTTTTCATTTGTTTACATTTTTTTCCAATCTGCTTGCCACCACGGAGGTAGTGAGCAGAATAGCCAAACCGAATGCCGCTCGGAAGCATTCGGCTAGTTACTCACTGCCGTTCGGCCCCTATGTGAATAGGGACGAACGGCAGCAAGTGAGTTGCCGGAGCTTCGGCTCAGCCGATCCAGATGTTTGATCGGCTGAGTCGAACTCCTTCTGCACTTCTGACCGAAGGCAGCCGATGTACGGCTGAAATCAGCCATACTGAGCTGAAGTGAATAGCCGTTCGGCTCAGTTCACTTCGGCTGGGTTATTCACTCGGCTGCCTCTGGCAGCTTAGTGAATAACCCTTGAAGTGTGTGATTAGGAGCGCCTAGTACAAACTTCCGCCCCACTTGCAATCCTTTAAAATCTTTTTTTTTTGAGGAACAGAAGTTAGAGCCAACACATTTCGTGGGAAAGGAATCTCTCTTCTTCAGGACTTGAACAATAATTTGTAATGCAGTCAGGGTGAATTTACGTAGAAGGCCTGAATTGAGGCTGGATTAAGGTTAGTATGTTTCTGATGGCATGTATACATCTGGCTGAATCTAGTATTATATACTGCAATCCAGGGCTCTGTAACAGAAATTTTTCTTTACCTATTGTCACAATGACATTGGTTTCACCAGACAGAATCTGAGTGGAAAGCTCTAACAGGCAGACAGACAGCAATAAATAGGAAATTGAGGTTTAAGCCTTCCCTACAAAATTAAAAAAGGCATTTTTATTTCTGTGTATGTTGGATATTTTACCTAATTTCCTGTGTGGGGGAAATGTGGTGCCTGGACAATAAGTGGGGGAAATTCACTAATGTTGCCCTGGATAGCAGTCAAAACCAGATAGTAGTTCTAATTATTACCCACTATAACTGAAACAAAAAAAAAAACTTTTGGCTTTACATACACGTTAAACAAGTGAAAAAAATAATCAGTGACATGGCGTAAAACTTAAAGCAACCATTAATTATTTTTTTTTCCTGTGGTCAGATCAGGTGAAGGAGATTGTTGCTATTGGTCACATCGAATAGCTTTCATGAAGCAAATGGCATAACATTGTTCTTGGTTACAGTATAAATAGGGAGTGACAAAAACTTGAAACTGTTTTTACCTCGAGGTCCATACGCTGAGAGCAGTGTATCATTCAGTAGAAAATTAGGTGTTAAATGGATATATTTTCCTGGTTCTCCACAGCCTCCATACTGTAAAGTATAAGGATCATCTCCATATTTCAGGTAAGGGTTGGCAATAATAATATCTGCCTGGAAAAAAAAACACCAAATGTAGATAGTTTTACTTACATCATTTATGATATAATATGCTTCAGGATTAAAGCAGAGCTCCAGGCAAAAAAAAGTGCCCTTTAGTACACATTTATTAAAGAATTAGTAAACATATTTTCTCTACTACTACTACTACTACTTTCACTATTACTACGATTTCCTAAAGTCTACTAACTTTACAAAACCTCCTATATACCAGAAATCAGGCTGAAAGTGTCCTGTAGTGATGTTAGCTGGTAGGGGGAACCATTGTGTTTAGCAGGAGGCCAGGTATCTGACACAAATGTTATTTTTCTAAGTGGTTATTGATTTGCAAGTAACTTAGTAGTAGTTTTCTAATCATAAATGTGTGAATATGTATATATATTGTATGATCTGTGTGTCTGTACACTATTAGCTATGAATTTCAACCTACTTAAAGCGATATTAAACCTTCCTTTTTTTAATACTTGCTATAAGGAGACCCACCTTTGCCTGAGGCTGTTGTTGTTTATCTTTAAAAGTTTTAAATTCCTTGTTTTCAAGTAGGTCCCCGCAGCGCTCTTCCCCCTGCCCCCTGCACGGGTGCCTCCATCAGCTAATGGAGGCACCCGTGCATGCTCATGCCTGCAGTGGCTGTGTGCGTCCATAGACATACACAGCCCTGAGGCAAGCCATGCCCCTTTTCTCTGACCAACACTTTGATCGATGGCATTAAGGTAAAAAACTCCCAGACCTTAATACTACTTTAAGCTACCATGAGTTATGGTCCTTTGCCTTGTTGGAATTCCTTAAAATGGTCAAACTGGATTCTAACTGGCCACTAGCCCCTCAGTGAGGAAGGTATATACAGTATATGAGTAATAGACAAAGGCTAGTCGAGCCTTTGCCTAGGACGTCCTGGTGCATGTGCCTTGAAGACCTTGAAGACTGTCCAAATCCAGGACTTTCAGAAGTCGAGGGGCTCCCTGGATTGGTAATATTATATTTATCTAGTTTATTCTCTGTAATATCTATACACTGTAAACATTCATATAGCGCCAATGGTTTGCGCAGCGCTTTACAATATAAGGAAGAAATAACAATCACAATACAATTCAAGACAAGATTGTAAGGAGGGCCCTGCCAGTGTATTGTGAGTTGGCATGGCCGCTTGTATCAACACAGGAGCACAAATAGGAGACAAGGACTGAGCATTGTCACCCTCTAAGACAGGGGCGCCTACAATTTTTCGTCTGGAGATCTACTTTTCAAATGACGAGCTCAATGAGATCTACCAACGAAAAAACACCTGCGTTTCGGGGGCGGGAGGGATCGTGGCGGTGCATTGAAGTCAATGGCACTGCAGCCAGGCCCCTCGCCCACAGTGCGATCGCCTGCGCCCGGAACCCAGGCACATTAGTGCCTGCGTTCCGGTCCAATGCGATCCGCAAAAATGCTGCAAGCATTTCCGGGTGCAGGCGATCGAACTGTGGGCGGGGGACATGGTTGCGGTGCAACCCCACGCCCCTGAATGCAGGGAGTCGGCCGGCTTACATTCCAGTGCATCCTAGAGGTGCCGGCGGTGCTCGTGTGGCCGTCGTTGTACACGGGGAGAGGTGTCTCGCCCCTTTCCGTCTGCGGCGTCTGACACATTCAGCCGGCAGCCGCACGAGCACCGCGGGAGCATATCCGTAGCCAGCTCCTTTTATTAAAGAAAAGCTATGGCCTCCCATCAAAAAATATTATGTGATGTAGCACTATATTCTCCTGTTGATCCTGTTAGGGAAGTCCACCTAATGCAACTTCCAGTGAGGGGATGGCAATGATGCTGCCGTGCTCCTAAATTCAGAGCAGCATTGCCACCCTCATGTAGGACGTGCCTGTTTGCACTACAATAGGGGGTTGAAAAGATGTTTCAGAGGATGCGCCTATGTCATTGATGATTTACAAGGCAGTAGATTGTCAGCACCTGGCCACACCTAATCCTGCCCACTGATTTTTGGATTGACTGCATCTGCTCTGCTGAAACCCTCCTACTCTAAGCTGCAGTGTCTGGGAGCGGTAGCATGTGAGATACAAGTGATTGAGAATTTGGGGGTGATTTACTAACCTAAACACACACACACACACCAGGTGTGTGTGATTTTCACACAGCAAAACGTATTTATCAACCAAAAAGTCTCTAAAAGCATATTTCCACTAATGCCATATATGGAAAAATCATGCACATGATGCATATATAATGCTGCTTCACAGTTTAGACAAAAATGGTTAGCTCATGCATTTACATTCCTTGCATTCATCAACGCAAGCAACACAACATAGAGCTAATTTACCCAACATGACCTTGGAATTCATTCAGGGCTTTGCACAACACACCTGCTGGGTGTGTACACATTACAAAGGTGTTTAGATTCCACCCATAGATCATGCTGGGAGGGAACACACTGCAGAGGTGTATACACATTTGTGGTGTGTTTATAAGGTTAGTAAATCAACCCCTTTGGCTCACTTAGTAGGGGCAAATGAAGTTTTTTGTGCTTCACATAGATTGGGAATTGTTTATATTGCCAGGAAGACTTAGATGTCTGTACTTTAACAAGTTAAACTTTATCTGTGATTCTTATTCAATTCTGAATGATTATTAATTAGATTGTTTATATCCAGCTGACCCCTTTACCATGTTAAAAAAAAAACTATGCAAGTTTGCTTACTTTTTCGTGTCATGGTACCATGGCAAACGGGATGCCTGAAGGTTGTGACAACATTGAATTTTCATTGTGCACTCAGTGCAACCTTTGTGTGGTTGTTTAATGAGTTGTTTCTAAGGATTGGCTTTATTTGAAGTATAACTGTTTATGCTACACCCTTATTGCTATTTCCCAATATGTCTTTTGCTCTATAAAAAATGGACTTCACATTTACACCTTGCATTGGTTTTATTTAAACATGGTGGAATCAGATTGTGAAATGTTAACTCTAAGCTGCTTTTGAGGTTAATATATAGTCAAAACACATGCATGGTAACTGTTCTAGCTACTTAAAGATCTGGAACTGTTCCGCAAGTCTATCAATCCTGGTGCCAGACAGCAGAGTCGGGTCATTCTTCTCATTGGTCAGCGCAGCCAGTCGACCATGCTGACCAAAGAGTGCTCGCCATTTGGAAGTGAAATTTAAACTAAAACTCAGTACCTCAGTACGGAGCTTCAGTTTGGGAGGAAACTGCAGAAGCCAGAGCTTTGCAGCCGTGATCCAGTGATCACAGTTGCAATACTTTCCAGGCTTGAATGCAAAAATGTAAAAAAAATAAATTATATTATTAAATATGCATTTATATAATTTTTGTATAAGGGACTGAGGCTTAGGTCTTAGGCTTTAAAGATAAAGATATAAGGTGGTAGTTAGATGCATTGATATGAATTGAAAATCTCTTTTTAAAAACAGTTGCAGAAACATGGCACACTCATTGTTTTTCAGCATACATTATGTAGAAAACTTTTGATGAATAACGGGAAAAAATGCAACCAATGAGGAAAACACAACCCAGCCAAATTGCCTTTCCCCCACGGATAATTAGCTGGGGGGATAGATGACACCCATGGACATAATGATCTTCACCGAACTCACCTGAAATTAGCTAGGCTGCACAGCGATCATCATATGACTTTAGACACATATCGGATTGTCAGCAAAAGACTCTACCACTATTAGATCCTATAGCTGGATTCTGTTGTAGGCAAGTTCTTTTTTTAATTAAGGAATTAGATAAGCAGCTCAGTGGATCTTTATAAGTGACAAAGTCAATGTAATTAAAGTATATCCACACAGAAGCAGAAAGGTCAGTATTGTCTGATTTCACTTGTTAACGGCCCTTTGTAATTCTTGGAAACTGGAACTGGAACCAGAGTGCATCTGAGACATATTAAGTTTTACTCAGCATTTTAGGATCTACATAAATGCTAATTTTATCTTAATTTGTAATTTGTGTAGTAATGTTTTATTGTCTACTTCTAAGAGCTTCTAGTTCTCTTTTACCATCTCTGTACCTACTTTTGCTTCAACCAGTTCAGTTCGACATTATAAATAATAATAAGCAGCAACAAAAAGTAAAAACAACTAAAGTGATAACTTCAGCTTAACTTTATTTTGACAAAGTGGGGAAGAGTTGGAACCTTTGTTGGGTTTCTATTGTGCCCCATTGGTAAAGGAATCATCTCCAACAGAACAAGAATAAAACATTACTTTTAGAAAGAGTGGGTGAAGCCTGCAGTTCTAATTGCTGCATGAGATTGTCTGTTAGAAATGTTCCCCCACTTCCTGTCCTGAAGATGTTGGCAGTGAGACAGAAAGTGAAGGGAAATCTACACAACAGTAATACAAGCTACAGTAACTATCCCAAAGAGGCTCTAATCCTTCCTTACTTTGTCCATCACTAGAATGTTTTTGGGAGAGTTACAGTTCAAGGCAACAAGTAAAACCCCTTCCAATGAGTAATAACCTATTTGTAATGTACAAGCTTCCAGATGATAACAACACACATATTGTCTTAGCTTACCTTGTCATATGTCTCTGTCCTTCGTTTGGTATAATTCTGCTTTGACCAGGTAAATGGAATTAGTATTTTGGCGCTCCTGATGAAAAGTTTCTTCTGTGTTGCATTAAATAGATAATGTGTAGCTTCATTCACCATGTCCTAGGGTTTAGAAATATAAGGCAACTAAGTACAACTAGGAAGGATAATCAATTTCTTTACAAATCTACCCAATCTCATTTTTTATAGACTCATCCTGCCTTTTTCATTATTTGCTGCTCTTCTGTTAACATATACATGGCCACCACGTTTCAAGTTGCTGCCATGTCTTCTCAGCCCCATTCTCCGCTACTTTTAAACCCCTTTGGTGATTTCCATGAAAGGAATAAATTGCTTTCTGCCAAACTTTTTTCTTGTTGACAGGTTGGTTCACCCAAAAGTGATATTTTGTCATACATGAAGTCAATAAAAGACTTGAATACTTCAAGAGGGAAAACTCCCTTCCTATGGAAATTGTTCCTGACCAACTGGAAGTTTTGGGTGTTAAAACCACCAGCTCCTATTCACAGCATTCTCTGTGTGCAAATACATTTTAAATTCAGAATGTAGAGTCTGACTTCATCATAATGGCTCAAACAGATGTGCAGACACAGGAGCCCAAATATCTCCCTAACAGACTCCCCAAGAGACGTAAATGGAGGTGGTAAAAGTGGTTTATTACTTCAATATTTACCAAAAACTGAAATATCAGTGCTGGGTGGACTGATCCTTCTTATAAAAATTATAACTAAATTAGGCACATCAAATTTGAAGACATGCTGAAAAAATCATAAACAGATGTAAGCTGCAGTAAAATCTGCAAGTCAAAATTGTTAGCAGATCCAGAGGTACACAAAATCTAAATTTTTCTTGTAACAACTGAGCATTGTCCTGTCATCTCACAAGCCACCCTAGGCATACTGGTCTATGTCAGTGCCTAAAATGCCTGTTCATTTAATTCAATTCAAATAGAGCATTAGCTGCTTTGAGTATGTCACTAAACCCTTTAAAAATAATATGTTCCAGTAACAGAAAGCATTAGTAGGAGATCTGCTACTGCGGAGCGAGAACCACAGAGCAGGGTGTGTGTGTGTGTGTGTGTGTGTGTGTGTGTGTGTGTGTGTGTGTGTGTGTGTGTGTGTGTGTGTGTGTGTGTGTGTGTGTGTGTGTGTGTGTGTGTGTCTATATATATATATTTTTTACAAAAAGTGATCTTCATCCTACATGTTGGAGAATTAAGGTGTAAAAAGTTTACCTTGACTTTCTGTATGAGCTCTGCGCTCTCAGGAATTCCTGGGTGAATTGCAATAACGATATCATCATAACCACCATTTGTGAGGTTAACCATGGAACTTTTAGAAGTGGAAATGGTCTGAAGTGTGACGATCACAGCGACCAACCACCACCGATCCATTTCTTAATGGTCACTGAACTGTTAGGTTCTTTGGGTGTTTTATATATTCATAGAAAAGGCACTTAATGCTATCTTTAGTTTTTTATAGTCACCTTTACTACTGCTTATGCAGGTAGCTTGTTATGCATGCAGTAAAAAGATAAAATGACATTATTAAAAATCTTTGTGAAGTACGTGATTGCTGAGATTTCAGTTTCATTTACTGGGAAGTAGAATGTTACCAGAACTGCCCATTCTGTTGGAGGTCTTTGAAATCTTTGTAATTACAAAATATACAAAAAACCATCTGTTCATGCACACATACTGTTTAAGGAGGTCCTTACTCATGTATTAACGAACGGAGATGGACAAGAGCTTTATGGTTAACATTGGAGTAAATCATAATACTTGCCATACTAGGACGCAAGCTGGATCTAATTAAAAGCAGTTTCTAACATTTTAATAAAATCAGTGGTCTCAATGTAGCTGGCCTTAGCTGTGAGGATGAGCAAAATTGGGAACTGTCATTTCGGTGAAATTTTAATAAAAATGTGGACATTTTGGTGAAATTTTGCCATTCAGCAAAATGCATGGAATTCACTGTGGAAGGTGAAATTAAGATGTTCTTTTTAAAATGTCTGCTGAGAGTTTGGTAAGTTCTTTCAACTATTTGAGACCTATTGGTGTGCTAAAAAACACGTATTAACGTAATGCTAACATTACCACTAACCCAAACATACATTTTTGCAAAGTTATGTGATCACTTTGGCAGCATTGTTATAGAAAAGGGTTTTATCAACAAAGCCATCTCTCACAGCAATGTTGTTATACATGTCTTTTTCTCATCAATCAACACTGAGGAGTCACAGCTAGGACCATTGCATGTTTCTGTGTTCTGCACACTGTTCCACCACTGACTGGCACAGCAGAACAATCATGCAGTATACATTGCAATTTGCAACTACATTTTTACTTTGTAAGGGGGCGAATTTAATGCTTGATCGCCTCACAGCAAAAGAGAAAGCTAGTGAATCTTTAATGAGCACATATTTTAAATTATTATGGCAGTGTTTCCTCAAAGCTACCTTACAGTACAACCAGTTTGAAAGGTCAAATTCAAGATGTGCCTGTAGAGAAGAAAGCAGCATGCACCACCAAATGCTCCTGCATTAAAGAGAAATTCCTGATTAAAGTATCTTAGAAACTGGCACTCGGATTGTGGATCTTCTGTGCTCTATGCTGCACAGAGGAAGATGATAGGGTCGCTTGAACTGCTGGTCATATAGGATTTTAACTACACAGGGAGTGAATTGTTTTATTTTTTTTTACCCAGCTGACCCATGCACTTACATTGTATGAAGGAGCAGTAACACACAGTTGTGTAACACCGGAAAGTTGGAGTCTTCTTAGATAATAAATCAATATGGCTGCCTAACTTTCTTTTTTTTTGTTATGGATAGAGTAGGGATGTGTTAAAAGCTCTGTCTTGTTCTTTGTTTTGCTTCACTTCTTGTCCCAGTGATGCAAGAGGAATGTAATGGAAATCTCCCAAAATGGGGTAATTCCCTTCTTAGACAGTTGTCCTCAGAATAGGTGTCCCCATTTGAAGATTCCTTTCACCTCTTGCTCTGCTGACAATTGTAAAACTTTAGATTGTCTCTCATTTTCTTTCTCAGTGATAATAGTACAAATAGAAGTGTGGATATACCCATTGTGGAAAACTTGACAGAGCATCTAACCCTTTCCCACTCTATCCAAAAGTTTTTAAAAAAAGGTTTCCTTAGAGATACACAATAAAATAAGCTGATATTAGTGTCTCCTTCCTTGTAATGTGTACTGTATAGCTTCACTAAAAGTCATTAGACATTATATGCACACAAATAAACTCATATGTACTGTATTTTGCATAGGTAATGTGACCAGGTCCGGATTTACTCTCTCTGCTGCCTCAAGGCCAGGTTCCTCAATGCGCTCCCCTGTCCGCCAAACACCCCCCGCAATGGAGAATGGTAGACCTGCAGGCTGCATACAAGGGATCTTGGCGACATTGCCGGGATCACTTCTACAAAACAAGCAGTGACTTCCCTGCTGTACATTTAGCTCTGCTTGCCCAAAGCAGGGCTAAATGTATCAAACAACTACCTACCCAGCACTAGGAACTGCATGTGCTGGGCGTCGGGAGATAGGAATTCCACACCCCTGCTGCCCCTCTACTCCCTGCTGCCCCGAGGCTGGGCCTTGGTTGGCCTTATGGGAAATCCGGCCCTGAATGTAACTACATAAAAGATAGTGGTCCTAAAAATGTAAAACCACTATGAGTTATACTTTCCATCGCCTATGGTTGACTCATGCAGACGTCACACGGTTTTACTTGTGTATTCATTAACTTGACTCATTTTTTCACAGAGTTTTACTACAATTTCACACAATTGGAGTTGCTTCATGTGGAAGGCTTACCATAAAGCTGATAATGAACTATAATATATTCTGTTTATATACATTATCTGTCTATAATTAGGCAATACCTTTACTGTTGGTATAAGTGGAGAGCTACAAAATGCAATCCAACATGCAAACCTTGAAAATTCCAAGTAGCAATTGAAAACATTTCAAGTACAGCTACTGATTGCTATCCAGTAAAAACAGCAAGAAGAAAGTTTACTCAAATTCTGTGCATACCCTGGATAATAAACATACAGAGCACCATAGAGGCACAGTAGGCAGTAGTAAACTTAGCTGGGTTCAGTTCACTAGGATTTTCGCTGAATTTAGACAGAAATCTGGGTTTGGTGAACATCCAAGCAAACCCAATCCAGAGCCAACTGTGTTCTAGTGAACAGTGACACTGTGTATGACTCAGCCACAGGTCAACCAATGACACTCTGCAGGTTGCACAGCGTCATTGGTTGCTAGAACATACACAGAAGTTCGGTGGGCAGGTGAACTGGCCAATTTATTAGCCAGTTCCATGAACTGCAAACAGCTTGGGTTTGGGTTGAACACATGGTCAACCCAAACCCAAAGATCATCCCTAGTACGCGGTAGGAGTGTGCTTCCTGAAGCCTGTGCTGCACAACTTCCTTGCTGTCTGCTTTCTGCATCACCCATCACATTCAATCTTATAAGGCAGATTTGCATCTCATTGGTGGCTGTGAAACAGGTCTTGGTACTGCCTTTTTGTTCATTAGGCTTTCTGTGTGTTAGAGGCAGCAAGGAGAAAGTCCTGCTTTCCAGGATCAACAGATTATAGACAAAGGGCAGTGGGTAGATGCAGTACAGTACAGTAATGGATATAGCACTGAATTACTCAGCAGGTGAGCTACATTTTACCTCTGTTGTTTTGGAAGACACATATTTGTTTCTTATTTATTAAAGAAGAACTCCAGGTATATAAAATGTTAACTCTTGCAGTGGGTCTACTCTCGTACTACAAAGGTTAACTGCTCGTTTTTCTCTAGGGGCCAGAATAAAGATGATAAGCTCACCCGATTCTTGATCCTGCAGTGGTGAGTGCTCACCTCTCTCCCCCTCCACTCCAACTGTGGTATATCCGTCGGCATCCTCATGTCTGTATTAGACATGATGACGTCATTGGGGCTTAGACTGCCAGAGTCTCAGGGGGAGAACAGGCTGTAGAGACCGGTCTATCAGCCAGGTCGGATTAAGGATCAGGTAAGTATATCCTCTTTATTTGCGCCCCCTGAACCAAAATGAGCAGTTAGCCCTTGCAGTGCGGGGGTAGCCTCACTGCAAGGGAAAACTTTTTTAAATCCTGGAGTCCTTCTTTTAAGAATACATTTGTTTTGGCACATGATAAATTAACCTCAATTTACAAAAGCATAATACACCTAGAGGGGAATTTATCAAAACTGGAGCAGACAAAAATCTGGAGCAGCTGTACATGGCAACCAATCAGCTTCTCTCTTTCATTTTCAAATCTTAACAGAACATACTGAAGAGAGAAGCTGATTGGTTGCCATGGGCAACTGCTCCAGATTCTGTCTGCTACAGTTTTGATAAATCCCCCCCCCCATTGCACTTTAATATATTGTTGGATTTGATATTTTGTTCTGCTGTTTTTGTAATATGACATACAGTAGTTTTGCGATCAATGAGGAGCCTATTAAGGAAAGCAGGAGAAGTGGCCATTTATATAACACTTTTATAATCCTTAAAAAGGCTTACTCCAGTAACATCAATGCCATCAAGATACAAAAAATCCCAACTCACCCTCTAGTACTCATAATTCCCCCACCATTGAGATTGCTGCTGCTGTGTTAAACATACCCATATTTCTTGGCATGGGATGGGAAAGCATGTGATATGTCTCCTGCCACTCCACAGCACCTGCGGCCTAAATGGTCAATTGGCACATACCAGTTCTCTCAGATCTGGCATGGGGTGTGTCTTTCACACACTCCTGTGTATAGGTATTTGAGTTATTTCACACTCGCATATCAAGAATGTACAACGAGTAGTGTAAATTGTAAAGAAATTTGCGAGCAGACAGATAAGAACTTTTTATTGCAAAAGAGACATAATGATTAACGGTATTGCTCAGGGAGTGCGCGAGTGATGTTGATTAGAACAGTGTTCAGTGGGACATGTTAGATTGCAAAAGATCTGGGTGTGTGAGAGCCACCATCTGACTTTCTTATGGGCTGGCAACACTGCGATTATCAACCCTTGCTGCTGTGCTCACCAGTTTAATAGATATATGTGCATTCGGATTCAGACGAATCTGCAAAAACGAAATTCAGTTGATTCGGCAGTTCGTCCAAATCTGAAATAACAAATTATTATATGCCCAAATACACGAAACACTATATTCGAGCATATATAAATTTATGTGCAGAATGCACGGGGGCCATATTAGCCGCCGGCGCGTTCTACGCATGCGCGCCACCATCTTGGAGGCGGAGCGAATGACGTCACAGGCGCCGCCATCTTGGTGTATACCAAGATATAAACCAAAATGGCGGCGACTAAACATGCTTATGACGTGTGATGTCATGCACTCCTAATCCAAGATGGCAGCGCACAAAAGTAGAATGTCCTGGTGGCCTATATGGCCGCCGCACGTTCTGCAGTTTCAGTGTGCGGTTTCACACACTGCATAAAAATTTGTTTTATTTGACGAAACGAATGAAAATGTCTAGTCCCTAGTGCAAATTGGCTGGCTCTAGGCTCAGGAGACCACTGAAAACACACAAAGACAAACACCGGAAAGCAGAGAACTGAGATAGACAGCAGGTTGCATGCCAGAGGTCAGGGCAGGCAGCAAACACTAATAGCCAGGATACAAGCAATAGGTCAGGGCAGGCAGTGAACACAGATAACCAGAATAGAAGCTATAGGTCAGGGCAGGCAGCAGACATCAGTAACCTCACAGTCGAGACAGGAGACAAATAGCTAATTAGCGCTGATTGACAGTGATCATCTGTGGAAGCTAATGCACCTTGGGGATGAGCACCGTCATTTAGCAAAGCAGCCGAAGGTATTGTCAGAGATCACAACAGATGGTGTGGGAAGAAGCCCATGGAAGTCGGGGGGGGGTGGAGAATGTAGAAGGAGAGGGCACTGAGTGGTGACTGCAATTCAGGCCATCTGCTTGTGGCTATTTGTGGTGACAGCAGGGATTGGTATGCCTGCGCAGGGGATCTGCTGGAGCCAAGCAACTGTGGGGGAGAGCAATGGCTCTGTGTGCATGTTTCTTCTGGGAGAGAGATGAATAGGCAAGATAACCCTGTAATTGCCAGCTGCTCAGCACATCTTGGAGCCCGTGGGGAACTCCCATGAAAGGCTTAGGTTGGGTTCACACCTAGGTGTATTGAATATGCGCATGTAACGCGCGTTTTTACCGCAAATTTACCGCCTATGCGCTGTAAAACGCCCAGGTGGGAACCATGCCCATAGGCAATCATTGGTTTTCACATGTTGAGCGTTTTACAGAGCGTAGGAACGCGCTGTAAAACGCTCAGGTGTGAACCAGGCCTAAGTGTCTGCTGCAGTCAATTCCCTGGCAGAGGAAGAGGGAGCAGGGATCACAACAAATCAGGCAGCTGTTAGTAAGCTACACAAACTATTCCAACACAGTCAGCGCTGGCGGGGCTGTGTGATCAGCAGACTACTAGTAAATATTTGCTGAATGTGGCAAAAAATTACCATCGACTGTGTTAGAATAGTTTGTGTAGCTTCCCCTAGGCAAAAGGGTTTTAAAAATATTTAGACACAGTGAGCGCTGTGTAAGGGACACCGTGCTGGAACAATTGTTTTTACAGAGAGAGGCGGTGGCTACAGTGTTGTGCTTTAACTCCCCCATAGGAATGCCCACATTTTGAGCTTCATCCTGGGATGGAGCCAATGTACAGCACACTACAGACAGATATTAAAATGTAATTTGAATACATAAGGAACTACACATCAAAATGGTACAAAGTGCTACATGGACTTGATCCATTGGGGGGTTTAACTATGATTTTTCAAATGTGATGATGCTTCTTCTTTAAGTTTATTTGATGGAGCAAACCTAAGACCTTGCTTAAAAAAAGATTATTTCAGCTGCATTTAAATGATTTTATCATAGCACTTTTAATGTGTAAAGAGTAAAATAACCATGAAAATGTGTACCTTTTACAAACAACTGTGCACATAGTGTAGTTTTAATCCACATGTACCATTAAATACTATAAATGTATTTGAATAAACTGTAACTCCATGCACATTAGTCTGTCTATATTGCATATATTAAAAAAAATATACACCTTATATTTTAATCAATTTTAATTTCTTCCAACACAGCTGTATGTTCTCCAAGTAGATCCCCATCACCACTTGACATCCCCTGCTGACAAAATTCTTCATTCTGGCACTTTGTGTACCTTTGTTGTTGTTGTGTAACTCTATAGTTTGTCAGTGATCCATTGTCAGCTTTCTGATTAGTTAATCCATAAAAGGAACATTTCCTCCTCTTATATACAGCAGCTACTAGGGCAAGACAAAGAAAAATTGCAAATGCAGCAGAGACTATTACAGCGGTTGTACTGCTGTTTACAACATTTGCGGAGTAAGCATGGTTAGTGTCTTCCTCCTGAAACCTGGGCCTGGTCACATGAACCAAGTTAGATACTTCTGACCTTTGCCCAGTTTTATCTGTAGAGCGGATTGCAATATATGCGATGATGCCCTGGTCTGCAGTCTTGTTTCCCAACCTAAATATGAACATCTCTCTGGTGCCTGCATCCTTTGGTTTGGTGTACGAAACATTGATGACTGTGGCTCTGGAAAAGTGCTGCCTTAAAATGAATGGATTGGTGCTTGTACGAATGTCATAATCTGAAGCTGAAAGAAAAACAAAAATATTACTTTTATTTATGATTTTCCTAAATTGAACCTGTATTCCATTGTAAACTTTGAAATGAAATAGTTCTACCTATGAGAGGGTAATACAAGATGCCTGCTCATGTCTATGTGCCTCATAGTGACTTTCCATTGTCCAATAAAAGTGCTCCTACTGGCCACTACAATGAAACTGCAGTTGGCATGGCATAGCCACGAAGCTGGAGAAACAAAGGCCCCAGTAACAAAATAAAACTAAATGAGAGAGGGGACAGATGAAAGTTTGTTGTCTACTTAACGTAATAGCAGAAGTCTTTTGGTATATGCTTCTAAATATGGCTTTTCATTTTCAGAGTTTAAACTGGAATACAGGTCTACTTATGAACAGAACTACAGGTCTGACATATGCCTATATTCTAAAGACTGGTGATTTGTAAGTACAGTTATTTCCAAACATCAAAAACTGATAATAAAAAAGACACATTCAAATTTTCAGTGTCAGAACCAAAAGCATTCAGGTACTAATTATTATAACAAAAGTCTTCCTGATCAGGTATAGTGCAACTCACAAAATAACATCATAGTAAAATGAATAAGCAGCCACAATGAGGGGAATTTATCAAAACTGGAGCAGACAAAATGTGGAGCAGTTGCCTATGCAACCTATCAGCTTCTCTCTTCAGTTTGTTCAGTTAAGATTTAAAAATGAAAGAGAGAAGATGATTGCTTGCCATACACAGCTGCTCCAGATTTTGTCTGCTCTAGTTTTGATAAATTCCCTCAATGTTTTATAAAATCTCAAATTGCAACATCCAGTCCATCTATGTTAGTGCATGAAAGATTCTCTTACGTTGAGCCCACATGAAGTCTAAAGAAGAAAAACCCTTTAACTAATAATAAATCTAAAGTCCAAATTGTTTTTTTTTTCTATTGTATACTGTGTGAAAGTGGTGAAAACCCTGTCAGGGAGTTTTTGCTGTATGTGCCCTGATAGCCATTGTCACCAGGTCAGAAACTGACAAGAAAAAAAAAGGGGAAGCGGAAACATCTTCCAATGGGGACAAATGGTCCGGTTAAAGCTGTGCTATTGGTGTCTATTTTCATCTCCTGAGCTGTTTCTGGGATAGGAAGGCAAGATAAATCTCCCTGATGGTACACAGACAGCGAAAATAACTTTTAAAAAAATGACAGGGATTTTAGCCATCTTCTCTATCCATTTAAAAAAAAAAACTTTTTGGCTTAATATACAGTACTCTTCTACAGGGAATTAACAATCTTTGAGTTTATATAAAAGAAAACTCACCAGCTCCCTGATCATAGTCGTCACCCGGTGCTGTCCAAAACAATACCACATGTTCATTTTCCATTTTTGCTTCAAGGTCAGTTATTTTACATGGGGGGAAATGATCCTCATCCAATGAGTACAGAGAGACATTTACAACTATGAAACTACCCAGAAACAGGACTCTGCTGAACATTTCATTTGTGCTCTGATCTTTATAAACTGGTCGAGGAGGGTTCATATTGATGGTGCCTGCAATAAATATATTCACAATGTAATATAATAAATACTAGAAGAAGATGTCTATACGATGTTACCTGGTAGCTTAGCATTATTCTGGTTTGAAGCTCACCATTTTCGATGTAACCGGGGACATACATGGCTGGATTGCTTTGAGGAGGCTTCAGGGAAGTAGTGTTTGTCCACTCAGCATACATTTTCAGTGAATGTCTACCATTATTAGAGAAGCGGAATAAAAAGATGGAATAAATACCATCTCCCTTGGTAACATCAGCACCTACAAAATTTGTAGATGGAAATAAGGAATGTTAATATCACATCTGCTAACAGTATTTTTTTTGGGGGGGGGGTCTATTTATAGACATTTCTCATAGCTTATTCATCCAGCGAAACTGCATGCACATCCGTTCTGTGCAAGTTAACAAGCTGAGAATGGGAAAAAGCTAATGTTCTTAGTGTAATTTATGTTCTGGTCGAATGTTCTTGCTTAGGTATAATCATAAAGGAAAGATTGAATGGGGAAAAACTGCCTCATGGTCACTAGATAGAGATGAGGATCATAGGAGATAAATATGTGTTAGAGTGGAGAGACAATGTTACAATTCAAGAAACCAATGGAGAGAATGAGCATATAAATGTAACCATTGATACTGCGGAGAAAGCAATGGTTACAATTATATGCTCATTGTCTCCAGTGGTCTTTTGTATTGTAACATTTTATATCCTTACTAACGTGTTCTTATTTCCTCTGATCCTCAGCTTCATGTAATGGCCATAATATGGTATTTTCTCAACTGATGAAAATTCAACCAGAATAGAAATTACACATTCATTTTGTCCCTATTCTCACAACAGTTGGGTAACTCCCACAGAAAGAATGTACAAGTAGTTTCGCTGGATGAATAAGCTATGCAATTTTTTTTAATCAATAGACCCCATGGTAAAATACTTTACACACAATCAAAGTCTGAATACAACCAGCATATTGAATCACTGACCTGCAATGAATGAGAAAAAGTTGAACTAAAGTCTTGTTGTAAACATTGCTGGCAGTTAGGAGTATTTTGGCACAAAGGGCATGCACAGCCTCTTTTGCCAAAAGACTTTGCTACTAGCATTTTTTACAAATACAAATTTAATGACAGTACTCCATTAATAAATGGACTTTTGTTGATTTCACTTAAATGGTGTGCTGGTGACATCCTTTTGAAAACTTCTACAAACACACAGGCACAGCAGCGCAAACCACTCCACTGCACCTTGCTCTCCACTCCTCCTTTCTCCCCACTCTTCCCTTCTCCAAGCTAATAGATGGACAGCTTATGGAGACTGTGCTGTCCCTTTTAACCTTGTATTGGACAGGAAGTTCAGGGAAGCTGAGCTGAGACAGCTGGATCCAGTAGTTTGAAAACATGGTAAATGTAATTGGTTGGGCAGAAATGTAAAGAAATACTCTGCTGGGCAATGTATATTTGTTAGATCTGGAGTCATTACTGAAAAAAAAAATTGAGAGTTTATTATAATTTTAATTCAAGCGGCTTGGTTTTGGTTCGCTTGAGTTTAAATCAAAACAGGATGGGTGCTACTATTTGGAATATAATCAGTACTTGAATAACAAAAAATAAGTGCAATTTGTTCTCAGGTAAGCAAGGATTCCTAGAAATATTTTGTTAGTATAATGATTAAATGAACCTATAAAGAGTCATTCTGGTGTACCTGCTCCATCGTCAAGGAGTGTTAAAGTGAGAGGATCTCCATTTTCTGGCTCAATGACAGCAGTCACATTAGCTCCCAGCACGGCTGTGAATCCATGTTTAACCTCCACAAATAACGTAACTGAATGCGGGGAAGTGATTGTATTGCTGATTTTTCCAGCGGTGACATGTACAGTTGGCTTGATTTCAGACGATGGTCTTGAGGTAACTAGAACACCAAGCGTCTGACTGTCATTTAAGCTGTTTTTTATTCTATATTGCCATATGCCGCTCTATATCATTAAAACAAATAATGAAATAAATAAGAGGCTAAGAATTATTAACATTTAAGATCAAGAATGTACATTTAGCTTGAGACAAGACATAAAAAAGGCAAATTAGTCCACTTTAATTTTACAAATGCAGCCCTCTTTCAGTTGCATTCAGCTTGCACTTGCAGTATATGGAAACCCCTTAGCAATGAACTTCTCTTATTCACTCTGTTAAATACACCATTGGAAGTCTTTTGTTATATCTGTTCGATAAGTGCAGATCTGTTAATCATGGTAGAAATGTACATATTCTTTACGATCAGTTTGAGATAATTCTTACCTTCTTTTGATTTCTTCTAATCTGCTTTGACCTGTTTTTGCAATCCAATTGACTTGTGTGGGTAAAAGAGCAGATCTGATGCAAACAAATGCCTGTGTACATAAGCCCTTATTGTCTTCAGGGCTCAAAATTCATTTTATTTCTTTGTCTAGTCAGATATAATTGAAATATTGCATATGAATGGTTTCCTTTTTTTCTCTCAATAGCTCAAGCTGAATATTACACAAAAATTGTTTGTGTGTGAGGAAATTTGAGACAGCTTAAAGACATCAGCATTTGCACATTTACACACTCTGGTGCATGGCCTTCCGCATGGGGTTGGGACTGGACACATGCCTCTATGTATTCGTGTCAGTGTTTGTGCATGAGCTTCACACACACCTGGCATCCATGTGTGCTCATACATGTCCAGTATCTGTATTGGTGCCCAATGCGCTGTGCAAGTCTCTGCCCCTTCTAGCCTCCTGGCTGAGTGGACTTCCCACTGTTTCTTGTCTGACCTTACCTGTGATCTGCAGATGCTTGTTATTGACTGTGTGCAGTGTCTTCCCAGGTCTGTGCAGTCCCATCAGGGCTGTGTGCAGTGTCTCCCCAGGTCTGTGCAGTCCCACCAGGGCTGTGTGCAGTGTCTCCCTAGGGCTGTGCATTTTCACCAGGGCTGTGTGCAGTGTCTCCCTAGGGCTGTGCATTCTCACCAGGGCTGTATGAAGTGTCTCCCCAGGGCTGTGCATTCTCACCAGGGCGGCATGCAGTCTCAACAGGCCTGTGCATTCTCACCAGGGATGTATGCGGTCTCACGAGGGCTGTGCATTCTCACCATAGCTGTATGCGGTCTCACCAGGTATCGGCTCTTAGTATTGGCACATTGGTGGTATCGGTGCTAAGTATCTGGGCATTTTCACAAGTACTGGTATCGGTATCAGTGCATCCCTACACAGAACCTCTGCCTGTGCCTAGCAACCAGTGACACTTGGTAGCATGCAGAGTGTCATTGGTTGGTATGACACTAGTGTCTAGGCCACACAGCAACATTGGATGGTAGGATTAAGGCAGGAGCACCTTAAACAATCTATCACAATGTGGGGTCATCAGTATTCTAGCAACCAAGGGTGCTGTATGTCACCTGGCTGCTCATGTCCTACCGACCAATGATGCTGTGCCGGTGGCACAATGTCATTACTTGCAAGGACAGAGACAACCCTGGGTTCAGTTCGCTTGGACGTTCGCCAAACAAACATTTCTGTCCAGCAAACATCCAAGAGAACCTAACCCAGAGACATTCAGCCCATTACTACTCACCACCCTTGGGTATCCATCAGGTTAGTGGCAATGAGTCAGACCAGTGACTCCTACCCCCTCGCTGTCTGCCTACTAAGACTGCTCCCTACAAAGTTTTAATCGGAGAGAGATCCTTAAGGTAATCAGCTTGTGCTCTTTATCAGGGGTGTAACTAGAAATCACAGGGCCCCATAGCAAAATTTTGTATGGAGCCCTGTGATTTCTGGTTACGCCCCTTGCAGAGCCCCCCTGAGATCTCACACAGCCCACCTGAGAGTGACCCTGCAGAGCCCACCATAGACTCTCCATGGTGGGCTCTGCAGGGTCTCAGGTGGGCTGGTCACACCTCTGCACACCTCTTACCTGTAAGCCCTGATCCGCTGTCAGCCTTCTCCACCACTGGGCCCTGCCTCCTCCTATGCTGCCACCGCCGGACCCCAGCCTCCTCCACCGCAAGCTGCTGGCTGTCACTGACTGCCGCGGCTGTGAGGAAGAACCCGCTGCTGCACAGATCACTGGTTGTCAGTAATCTGGACAGCGGCACGTTCCTCCTCACAACCGCCAGTGACAGCCAGCAGCCTGAGATGCTATAGTGACCCAGACAGGCCGCACAGCACCAGGGGGACCCCTTTGTTCCTCGTCCTGGCCGGACCCCCCTGTACCCTGGGCCCCATAGCAACTGCCTGGGTCGCTATGGCGATAGTTCCGCCACTGCTCTTTATAAAGAACATGATGCTCTGTGATACCAGTGTTATAGGTGAACCCTGCATTAAATTTTTATTTTATAAAACAAAAACTTTACATAAAAAACAAACAATATAAAAAACATGGGTTTAAAAATTTATAAACTTAATAATATTTTAAATAAAACTGACACAGACCATGCTTTGGATAGAGTGTGGTTAGGTTATGAGTATTTCACTGTGGTATGTGTTCCCACTGAGAAGATTTGCCTTCACTTGTCGTTAGGAAAGGAAGCAAAAGGCAATCTCTCCAATGAGGACACAGACAAAAATGCATGTTTAGTACAGTCTGGAAGGGGACGTACAAATAAACGAAAACTGTTAACTCTTGCCCTCTCTATCCAAAACAAAAAAATAAGTGTTTTGGCTGATGATAGTCATCAGACATACAAATTATGTTTAAAAAGTGGTATTACAAAAATAAACTAAATGCTATATTTTAAATATGTAGATTTAATGTTATATGTTGTACCTGAGCAATTCCTGGAATTTTTAAATAAGAGACATGTGAGGCATTATCATGCTCAAGATATGTGTATCTGTATCCATTGGAGTTCTTAATGACAACATCAGGTGGCTCAGAGGCCTGCCAGGTTATAATGAACGTAGTGTCATTCCCCACACCACTGTCTACAACCATGGACCCAAATAAAAGACCACCGGCTTTAACAGGCTTCTGAATGCTTTTTATCTGAAAAAAATAAATAAAAATAATGGCTAAATTTATAAGGGGGTGCAAACAAGAATAATAGATACTTAATGAGAAATTCCAAGATAGTTCCAAGAAGTTTAAAGTGTATCTATACCCAAAAACAAAAATGTAATATATCACAGCTTACCAATCCCTATGTGGTGGCTGCATTAGTTATATTTTGTAGTTTTTTTATTTTTACTTTCTTTTCACCGGGTGATTCAGCCAGTAACACACTTCCTGCCTTAGGGTAGCACCATTCTAGGGAGGAGCAATGGAGCCACCCTTGGACAGCAACATTGTCAACCTGTGGAAAGGTTTGTGTTAGATCAGTGGTTCTCAACCTGTGTAACCTCAGGACCCAATTTGTCCTTAGACATTAAGTGACGACCCAAGTCACATTGGAACGCACAGCATTGCGGTACCGTGCATTCCGGTGCGGGCGATCCATGCAATTCTTAGCTTGGAGTCCAGTGCTGGGCTGCTGTGCTGTGACGGAGCTCCATCCATATGTGTATTGCTTGTACAACTCCCTTGTGCGCCCTGTAGAGGTGCTAGGAGTCATAATGTGACGTCACTCTGGTCTAGGCACCTCTACAAGTCACGTGAGGGAGCTGTAAGCAATCCATGTATAGATGGAGCTCCCTCACGACCATAGCTCCAGCCCACCCCACCTCACTCAAGCTGACACTTGGTGCCAGGCAGTATATTCTGAATGGCTGCTCAGCGCAAGAAATGATATTGCTATGCTATGGGAAGGCTGAGGAGCCTCTCACCTAGAAAAGGGGAAGGCACGCGGTGACCCACTGAAAACGAGATCGCGACCCACTTTTGGGTCACGACTCACCAGTTGGGAACCAAGGTGTTAGATGCAATAGCAAATTTAGATTACTTGAAAAACAAATTACATCCAAACTCCAGCTCACATTTTTAAGCTGTTACAATAACATGCTTTTTTTTCCCTTTTGAGATAAAGGTTTTACATACATCAATAAAAGCTGACTATTGTCCAATGTCGGTGTTAAGTAGTTTGTCTCAACCCTCTAACTGACACTCTAGCGCCGCAGGGGCATGGTTGCTTGAGAGTTACTGCAGTTCCCCATTCCCTGTGGGTGCCGGATAACTGGGAGTTTACTTTGTATGGCACTCTAAAACACTGATTTAAGACATTAGAATGAATGTGTACACTACAATTATCTCTCCCTTTATGATCCTCAATTGCTTGATCAGTTTGGATTTGTCCTTTTAAGCACAACAGTAGAGTAAGACGTTCATGCTAGTATGCACAATAAATGCAATTGATGTAATTTTACTGCAACAATAACCCTATGAATGCATGCCTCTCAACTTTTCAAATGCCTAAGGCCTGCACCAACGTCAATCCCAGACCCAGATTAACTCAAATCTACGCATATTTATACAGTTCACACTGATCTTTCTAAGTTCACAGGTCCACAAATTAAGAGGCACCAAAAAAGGGACAAGATGAGACAAGATGACTTACCACTACAAATGGTTCTCCAATATTTCCATGTTTTGGAGATATTCCCATAAAAGCTCTAATTAAATTCTCTGAGTCATTTGCATCTGAAGCATAGAATGTTAATCCTCCTAATAGAAACAGAAAGACAAATCAACCCTTAGTGTATGGTAGAACTATAGGCAGATATACAAAACCTAAGTATATATTCATAAAACTGTATTTTAAATAGTACTGTAAGCTATATTTATATTAGGTTTCTTTATCAGTGACACTAAACTCAGGAGTTAAATCTTAAAAATGCATTTATGTACCTTAAGGTAGAGCAGTAGACATATGCAAAAACATTTTAAAAAAATATAAAATTACCAAACAGGTTATTACTTAAATGTGTTTCCGCCATTCGATCCCGTCCGAAGAATTTCGAGCAGCCGTGAAGGATGATGGGGCGGGCGCATGTAGAGATCTTTGGCCGGGAGAAGCGGAGAGACACAGGGTAAGTCAATGCACGCAGCCCAGCAGCGTGCACCCACACAGACTCAATGGGACACAGAAGACACAGCAGTCAGTGCTGGATCAGAGACCGGCACCAGCGCTGGAGGGACTCCTGAAAACTACTGTAAAGAAGAAGATGATCGGATCAAGAGGGATCATTTAAGGTAAGTCCCTAAAGCAGCGTAGGGGGGATGTGACTTTAATGTGATTTAATGTGATACACAAATAAGATACACTTTTGTTAATAGTTAAGATACTTGAATGCATTTTTAAGACTTAACTCCTAAGTTTAGTGTCACTTTGATCTGTGTAGCAGGGTGCACACTAACATAGGAAGTGATAACACTGAAAACTAGTCAGGTTCTAGTGAGTAGCACAGTGCTGTCAATCCAACTTAGAGAGCTTACTAATAGGAGAAGAGAGAGAGCAGAGAGATGGCCCAATCAGTTTGCCGCTGCTCCCTCTCTTTCCAGTCACAGGCTAAGGCAGGTGCTTGACCAAGCTGTATTGCCTTAACTGCAATGGAAAATAGTGAGGTCAGGGGCCTGGCTTAGCTATATGGCAGGGGTATCCCCAGGATGCTGCGTGTCTCTATGCAGAAAACATGCAGGCCCCATGCTGAATTTATAAACCACAGAGATCCTAGCCCAAGAACACATTGAACTGAAATTAAAACAACACAACCAGTCAACCAAGTTTGTAGCAATAAAGCAAAGTGCAATCTTCTGAAAGCTCACAGGAACAGAAAACAAATAGACATTTGAATGACGCAGACTGGTCCACAGGTTTTGAGAAAAACATTTCCTGCTGAAGCTTCCTGTGCGGTTCAGGTCCCACAGAATAGTCTACATCTTTAAGAGAATCAGTCACGATGGGGCGTACACAAGAATCCTCAGTTTTAAAGTTTTATAAGCACATTCTTATTTTTATATTTCCTCCTTAGTTATCTCTGCATACTCTGAGTCAGACTCTCCCACTTTTATAGTGCTGTCACAGGTCAACTAGAAAGTTCCTTGTCAGTTTCCTGACCTTACCCTCCTAGCACCTGAGTGTGCAGCCAATTAAGTCAGGTAGTTGACAGGGCAGCAATGACCAGACTTCAGGGGATCTCTTATCCCATAAAACAAGCTAAAGAATGAGACCGAGACAGAGAACGTGAAGCTAAAAGTTGGGGCAAATATGAATCTCTGATAAGTAAACCTGCACAGTTATAATAATGTAGGCTTGAGTATTTAGATTATTGTATAAGCTCAAACATGACTGGCTCCCTAAAATGAACCTATGGCTATTGAACATTCAAATGTTCATATATCATTAACAAGGATTAAATTACCTTTAAAATAAGCCCTAACTGTGGAACAAATCGTCCTCAAAGTTCACAGTAGAAGCACAGAAGTCAGCTTTTTCAGCAGCTCATCCCCTGCTCTCCCCTCTCAGCAATGACCCAGCAGCTTTCCAGCCCTCTATTCTCTAATGTAAACACAGAGCTAAAGCTCTGGGAGAGGGGAAGAACAGAGAGCAGAGCTTCTGAGAGAATAATCCCAATTACTTCAGACTTTTGAGATTGAAATACATTTTTCTTTTTACAATCTTATAAACTAAGGCCTCATCCCTGCTGCCATTTTTACCAAATCAAGAATGACATGTTCGGCTCCTGCAGCCTCCTGGAATATTCGTCACATATTTCAGGGGGATGCAGGTGCAGGTGTTCTATCAAAAGCTAAAACTTGTCAAGCTCTCAAACTGGTTGACTGCCAGTAGGAGATTTAGACTAGATGGAGCAAGAGCACCTGCGCTAGCCATGCTGCTGTCTCAATCCTGAAATCCCCAAATTGCACCTGCGTGCCTTCATCTTGCATGTCGAGTTCTCCAACACTACTCACTGTGCCAACGTGTCTTCACCTTCCCTGTCATGTTGCAGGCGCACTGAGTGGGGTTATAGAATTCAACGGTGATTATGGAGCCACACAGGTGCAGTGACGAGTGGGGTTGTAGGATTCTACGGCGACTTATGGAGCCGCTTAGGCGGAGTGGCGCCAGTTAGAGATTTCGACAAGGAGTCTATTGTTTATTGTAGTCGTAGGGCTGGCACACTCGCAGTGTAGGCAGTTGTCTGAAGCTCGGACCGGCAAGTCACCGGACGTGACATCAGCAGTCATAGATCTCTGCGGGTTGGTGCCTTCGACAGAACAAGGGAACAGAGCAACCAGAGGGCCGAGCTGAAAACACATCATTGGGGTCGACTGCAAAAACCTGAAAGAGACAGTCAGCTCCTCATGAGGCCATATAGGAATATGCTGGCCTGGCAGCAGAGCAGAGAATTACAGCAGGACGATGCTGGATTTGTTGGGCAGATGGCTATGTTTTCTGAAGATAACCCTGCAAAATAGGTTAGAGGGGATATGAAAGACAAACAGGGGGGGAAGTTCCTCTCTTAGTTTACAAATGTAGATCATCCAGAAAAGTAATTTGCTTTGTCATTATCATTCCACAATGTTCCATATGAACCTGTTATTTCAGCAAACTGTTCCAATTCCGGATCAGCACCGAGTCCTATTGCAATGGTATGGATAACTGAGCCACCCAGTGACACTTCATATAAACATTTATTGATATTTCTATCATTTCCACTGACAGCCAAGATGATTTCAGAACCTTCTGTTCCTCCATCTAAACCTTTGATCACCTATAAAAATAAAAAAAAAGTTTAATAGTTTATTTTTAGTTTTACACTATTTTATTATGTCTTGCAACATACATCATCTTTTGCTATGGTTTTTACTTTCTAGTTAGTTTATATGCTTTCTAAACAAAGGTTTAATTTGCACTGATAATGTTTTTTTAAATCATGTTACATTAAAGTATTTCTCTAAGCAAAAAGAAAAAATCTTCAGTGAATAGTTTCATATAAAATAAAAATTATATTAATATAATCATACTTTATTTTCTTACCTACAATAAACCTGTTGATCCTACCAGTTCTACTTAGTCCTACTAAACTGCAAAGGTACAGGGGGCTTTCTTGGGTCTAAGTTCCAATATAGGTTGGCATGTTTTCTCCACTATCTCTCGCCAGTTCAGCAAAATTTGATCTAACTTAACAACTTGACATCCTAAGTCACCCTACAAAATTCTCCTATGATGGGTTTAAATTGTACAACTACGCTTGCTACTCAACAACTGCATATCTTTAACCACTTCAAGACCAGGTGTTTAGACCCCCTTCCTGGCCAGGCCATTTTTCAGTGTTCAGCGCTGCGATACTTTGACTGACGTTTATTCCGTCATGCAACGCTGTACTGAAATGAATTTTATACCATTTTTTGGGGACAGATAGGGCGTTATTTCGGTGGTATTTAATCACCACTGGGGTTTTTATTTTTTATTATAATTAGGAAAAATTACAGAAAATTTTGAAAAAAAAAAGTTTTTTTTACATTATGTTAGGAAACATTTATTATTAACCAGTTTTTTGGTAAAATATAAAAGTCGGGGTCACGTCGGGTAAATAGACACCAAACATGTCAAGCTTTAAAATTGCGCGCAC